AGATACATCTTGAGATTGCTAAGCAGGCATCTACTGCACAGAAGATGGCTACCATACCAGACCTTCATTGTACAGTATAGGTCTCCGGTGTCATTTAGCATGCAGTAAATTGTACTGTACAGAAGATGTTTGCTGTAATAGACTTTTGTGCTTCAAATTTTCTCTGTGGTCATCTAATATACCCTCTGGCTTTTTTCTACGCCACACTATATCCTTCCGTTACTTTACAGCAGATGGTCTTTGTGGCCTAGGTGTTTATCTACTGTACAGTAAATAATCCGGAAGTCTACTGGGGTAAGTAGATGGTCCCTGTCATCTACGACACCGAGTGACATCTGCACCAAAAATGGCATCCGTTATTATCTACCGAAAAAGATTTTCTTTACCGATCTGAGGCACAGTATTCGGTCTCTATGACCATCTGAGGTGCAGGAGTTGGTTTCAGTTGGCCCCTGTAATCAACAATTATATAGTATAAGACAGGTACAGTACACCTTGCCTGTGGCCATCTACTGTCTACGGTCATGCTATGAGCAGTTATAGAATGAATGACGTCCTCGGAGTCCACTCCTCATCAATTGCAGCTGAAGAACGCCAGCTGCCTAAACAAACCAGGGTAGTTTTGGCGAAATTATGTTCCGGATGGTGTAGTCGTCTCAATTCGTATTGGGCACGAATTGACTAAGATGTGTGTGACATCTGCCCAGCGTGTGATACAGGCCCGCACAATACGCTGCACCTCATTAATTGCGCAGCCAAACCTTCCCAACTCACTCAAGAAGATCTCTGGCTACAGCCCATTAAAGTAGCCAAATTTTTGAACCTGGAGCTTGAACCAAATTAGCATAATGCAAACACATACATGTACTACTGCTACAACTACAACAACAACTGTGCAGAAAATTACCCCTGTGGTCCTCTACTTTACAGTGGATTTTTCAGGTTATGACCCCCCTTCGTTCTCTATGCAGTAGTACAAGCTCTCCGTAGAAAAAAAGGGACCAATGATAATCAGTGGGGTATATGGCATCTATGATGACCCACTTCCAGCCAGATAAGGTCAGATGTAATCTACTGATCATCCCGTAAACATAAATCAAACCCATTGGATTTTTCTTTCATTTCCCCATTTTTCAATCCATCCATCCATCACCCGAATCCATTTAGCATTTTTTCCAGCGATCGGAAGGAAATAAAGGGAAACAAGTAAAAAACCAGCTAAGTTTGACCGGGCCGAACTTTTAATAACCTCCACCATTTGGAAGGAACTTGAAACATTTCAACAAATTCCGAAAAATACAAACACCTCCACCATTTTGAAGGAATTTGAAAATTTTCAACAAATTCCGAAAAATACCGTTTATATGATTACCTACATTTATGGGGGGGGCTATAGGAAGACATGGACCTGCTTTAGTAATTTTTTTGTCATAGGCTGTAGTACCCATTAAGATCTTCAAATACGAAATTTGAAACAATTCCGGCGAATAAAGTCGCTAAAATCATCAAAATATCGAATAAAGGGAGGTACCGTTATATGGAGGCTATACGAAGATGTGGACATACTTAGGAAGTTTTAAGAAATAGGATGTGGTATCCATTACAAATTTTGAATACGAAATTTCTTTTCCGGCGAATAAAGAAGCTAAAATCATCAAAATATCGAATAAAGGGAGGTACCGTTATATGGGGGCTATACGAAGACGTGGACATGCTCAGGAAATGTTTAGGAATAGGCTGTGGTATCCATTACAAACTTCGAATACGAAATTTGAAACAATTCCAGTAAATAATGTCTCTAAAATCATCAAAATACGGAATATCAGGAGATACGGTTATATGAGGGCTATATGAAAACGTCGATCGACATGGCCCATTTACAAACATAATCTGCCTGCTGGCAAAATAAACATGTGTGGAAAATTTTTTGGTTATAACAGACAGACATATAGACAGACAGTCGGACTTCTGTTCATCGTCTTAGAATTTTACGCTGATCCAGAATATATATCCTTTTAGGGTCTATCATGGATATTTCGAGGCGTTACAAAACGGAATGAAAAGCTAATATACCCTCCATAGAATGGCAGAGGGTATAAAAACAAACAAATGCAACTGAAAGAGTTCTGCAAAATAATAAAATGCAATAAAACTTCTAATCCAAGCAAAGAATTTCATTTTTGTTCTTACATCTTGGCATCTCTTTTCCTTTGGCATAAAAGAATGACTCACTTACAGCTCAAAGCAACAGCAACAATGGATAGACGACAGACATGTTGAATGCTGGCCATGAGGGTTTGAATTCCGTCATCCACTGGGCTTTAGTGGCTGTGATTGAAGTTCAAATTGCCAATATCCGTTGTCCGATGTGTGTGTGGTGTGTGGCGAATGGCACGCAAAAGCACATAGATTTGCAACTATAGCAATTAGGGTATAAAAAAGAGCCAAAAGCAAAAATCTATTCAATGATTTGGAAATGTTGCAAAGCAGAAGGAAAGACATAAACTATCCAAATCAGTTCTATGAGAAATCTTTGTAGTGCCTCCCAAGAAGCGTTAAACGAAATTCAAGAGACTTATACTGGGCCTCAATACAGGCCCCTGTATCATAGGGAAAAATCTTAGTCAATTTAACAATTTCTCGAACTGCACAAATTTAATTAATTCGCTGTAAGCAGATGTTTAATTCTGGCTTCCCCATATTATCATTTTCCATTCGACAAATATTGAAAAATGAGCAAAACCATTGAAATTCCAAGAAGTGCAAGAACTTACACCGCAACTGAAAGAAAATAGACTCAAAAGAGCTCAAGAGTTGCTTCGCTTGGCCGAAAGTGGTGAACTGCCGTATTTGGTTTGGTGGTCTCCGATGAGAAAACATTCGTTGTCCAGCAGTTTGTAAACAAACAAAATAATCGTGTTTACTTGCCAAAGTGGTCAGCTGAAAATGTGCACCTTCAGTTGACCACCAGAACTCAAGCGTCGGCCATGGTGATGCTGATGGATCAGCCATAACAGCCGATGGTCGTTCTCCGCTCGTATTAGTCGACCGTGGCATTAGAATAAATGCCGAATATTATAGCGAAAATATTCTGGAGAGTGTATTAAAGCCTTGAGCACGCAAACATTTTGGCCGCAGACCTTGGACATTCCAGCAGGGCTCAGCACGTGCCACCAAGAATGTTTACAAAATGAGGTTCCTCTCTTCATTTCCAGAGCACAATGTTCACTAAAATCTCCGGATACCAACCCGTTGGACTATTGTGTCTGGATTATTTTAGAAAGCAAGCTTGGTGTCGATCACCTCAAGCAAGCGCTTCGCCGGGAATGGGTCAAAATACCGCAGAGCAACATTCGGGCAGCGTGTGACGGTTTAATTTTCCTCGCTTCATTTCCAGCGCACAATGTCCACCAAAATTTCCAGATACCAATCCGTTGGACTATTGCGTCTGGAGTATTTTGGAAAGCAAGGTTGGCACTAAAAAATACCAAAATGTCAATCACCTCAAGCAAGCACTTCACCGGAAATGGGCCAAAATACCGCAGAGCAACATTCGTGCACGGCGTGTGACGGTTTCATTGGCCATTTGAAGGCCATAATTCGTGCTAAAGATGACCAATTCGAACAAATCTAAATTTATTCTAAAATTTGATGTTATTTCCTTTCATTCAAAAAAATTTAAAAAAAATGTAAAAATTATGGCGTTTGACTACGTTGCAGTTTTTTTAATCTCACCCTGTAATTCACCGTAAGCAGATGTTCAATTCATTTGCTGACTTCCCCATAAATTTGTATTCATTTTGGTTTTTATGTTTTCTTTCCTGGGAAGAACTTTCGTTTCCAGCCAAAGGGATTCTTAAGACGAAGACAAAAAAACCAAAGCTTCAATAAAAGGCAATAAAAAAGAAAATTAAAATCCCCATTGAATTCATAATAAACATTGGATATGTTTTTTTTTTTCTATTTCCAATATCCCACGTGCAGTTAAAAATTCTTTTGAAATTACACCTCTCAAATGCCTAGTACCACAACCAAACAGTTCATTTGAATGAATGAGAATAATAGCTACGAAAAAAGATTGAAAAGATATTAAATTTAAAAATAAATAAAATTGCGCCTTTTATTTGCAATGTAAACAAATAGTTTGTTGTTATTACTTTTTGCACTATGAATTCCCATTCAATTCGAAAAGAAAAGAAACCGATAAGACTTAGTGGGGGAAAAGGAATAATTAATGTCATTCATGGTGTAAAAAATGTTGCTACGACGATAGACAATGTCTAGTATTTTTGCAACTATCAGGCAGACAGTTACGTACTTATTTTGCAATATAATTTATTAGTTATTAGAACAGAGCTTAGACACCAACATCGTATGAGGTGATAACGCATGTGGGTTTTTTTCGGATGATTAATATAAAATATTTAAAACAGGCAGAGATTTTTTGTTTAACTCCCATATAGACGTTTTTTTTTTTAATCATATACTTTTTTCTCCAAATTATAAACTTTGAACTTCACAGTTCTGCTGTCATATCAGGGCATAGAATAAAAACAAGTTTATGGCGACGACATTTCTTTTTGGCTTCTCACCAAAAACCACAAAGCAGTATAGCTATAAAATGCCACACATACGGTCGTCGTCGTATGCATATAGCCGCCATGTACATTCATATCAGAAGATGTCAGCAATTACGCTCAAAAGAAGGAAATACGAATAGGATAAATAAAATCAGAAGAAACACAAATATAAACAAATGCTTAAGAAAAAATTAAAGAAAGAGGAGGCATACACAAATCTGACCTTCGTAATGGCAAAAACAAGAAAAATAAATAAATACGTCAGACATTTGTTTTTGTTGTATATAACAACAATAGAATTATTTAAAACTATAAAAAAAAAAAAAAAACCTGTTGCCAAGAACATTTGTCAATTTTTGTCTCTATTTTCCATACCCGCGAAAGGCAGGCTAATAAATAATAGTAGTTCAATTCACTTACCATGTTCATAGGGTGAAAAGGTGCCGGCATCAATATTTATATATGGATCGATTTTAATGGATGTCACATCCAAACCACACGATTTAAGGAGGGTGCCGAATGATGAGGCAATGACCCCTTTGCCGACACCGCTGATGACACCACCAGTTACCAAAATGTATTTCATTTTCTTTTTTCAAAGATGTCTAAAATAAAATAATATTTTCAAATTAATTAAAAATATTTGCAAAAATAATTTCCCATAACAGCCAACTAACCTTTGTCAGATGAATTGAAGAATTTCAATTAAGCAAAATCAGCAGCAGCAGCAGCAGAAAAATTTATCTTGTTCTTGTTATTGTATAAACAATAGATGGCAACAACAACAACAACAATATTTTAAATAACAAAACACAAAACGTGAGGGGTGAACTTGTTGTTGTTGTTGTCGTCGTTGTAGGGGAAATGTTAACGAATACCACGGGGGGAAATGAAAACACGCGGTCGGAGCAGGATCCGGTGTATATAGGATATATAAAAACTGGTTGTAGGTTTTCCCTTACAAAATCGATTTTTTTGGGACACTGAAGTTATACACAACTTTATTAGCTTAGATAGATGGATCTCATTTAACAAAATCTCGCATTTTACGCCACTTTTTTAAGACTGCATGTGATTTTTTAGCAGAAACCAATCAACATGTTCAATTATGTTCTTTAGGTTTCTTCTTTTTACTGTAGAAATTAAGGAAAACGAAAATCACTTGTTATGCGATTTCCTATAGAGCACGTTTCTTTGATTCTCAATCTTTTTTTAAGATTTATTAACTTTTTGCGCGCTTCTATTGTTTTTTTATTTGCACATCTGTAATGTGGCCGCGTGTTATTTTACAAATTGCCAATTAGGGTTATGTTGATCGACTTTGGCCTTAACGATTAATCGATTATCGGAAGAGTACAACAGTCGACTTAGTGATCCCTCATAAGGCATCATCTTTCTGTGAATCGTGTGAATTGTTGGATATTTGATTTCGAATTGTTAACGGATTTTCTGATAAAGTAATGGCAAATGTGAAGCATTATTTTTTATAAAAGCAAAGTTGTTTACCATAGCTTAATTTTATTTACATGCAAATTCTGCTCCAATAACTTCTATCAATTTTGGTAGTTGGCGGGAAAAAGTTACAGACAAGACATGAAATAAATTCGGTGATTAATCCACGAGTTTTTGTAGGAGTCTGTCTTACAAATTAACAACCCTATGTAGTCTTTGAAGAAATTGATCAAGAACTGTTCCTTAAAATCCATTAGTTTTTACGAGTCATACTCAACATATTTTGAAAAACTTGCGAGCCTGTGAAGATGACTTGATACAAATGTTTTTTTTTATGAATCCAAAAGTCTAGGATTTTGTGCAAAAGTCTTTGTAGGATTCTTACAAAAAAAAAAATATTCTGAAAAAAATTACGAGCAACTATAAATGGACTGATTATAATATTTTTAAAATCCAAGAGATTTAAAGAGGTCTTGCTCGATGTATTCTTAGAAATCCACGAGAAATTATAGATTATCTACTGGGAATACTATTAATATACCACAAGGTTTTGTAGATGCTCTGTTTAAAACATTCAGAGTGTTGCCTGATTTGAATATTCTTCCCATTCACATCAAAGGTTACATAATAAAATTACCCCACTTTTTCTGTTTCTATTGCTTTAAGCACTTTATTTAAAAAATAATTTCGTTTTATTGATACATTTGTTGTCTTATAAATGCCTTGAAATAATCCCATTTCAGAGTAAGCAAAAAATATGTAACTAAAAATTGAGTAAACTGATACAAAAAAAAAATGCAATTAACGAAATAGTAACTATAGAAATAAATAGCCATTAATAATATAAAATAGTCCAATCGAAGTTCTCTTATTTTGTGGTAGCTTCCTGTTGTTCAAACAAAGGATATTTCTCCAAAACTTGAGACCATTGCATCTTGCCAGTCGACAAATCCTTGACAACATCAATAACTTCATTGATGTCGACACGCACCTGTTTCATGGAATTACGATCTCTCAAGGTGACAGTATGGGGCTCCTTCAAAGTATCGAAGTCAACGGTGATGCCAAATGGTATGGCAATTTCGTCAGTACGAGCATAGCGACGACCAATTGAACCACTGGAATCATCAACCTTATGAGAAAGTTCAGCTTTTGTCAAAGCCGAAGATAATTGCCGGGTGTAGGGTTGGAATTCAGCATTATTGGATAAAGGCAAAATGGAACATTTAAGTGGTGCCACCACCGAGGGCAGGGTGAAGTAGCAACGCTGCTCATCACCATCACGACACATAAAGTTTTGCTCGAGCAAAGCATACATAATGCGGCCAATACCAAATGAAGGCTCCACAACACTGGGAATGATTTCTTCAACATGGACAGTTTTTGTTGAGTGCTTAACTGAAATGGTATCGGGGGTCAACTTGAATTCAGCTCCTTCACCAGTTTTCAAGGTATATTCCTTAGCTTCATTCAATTGTTGTTCCACACTCTTGACATCGTCCAATGACAGCTTGGCCAGGGCATCAGTTATGGCCTTGGCATCCTTTTTAAAGGTCTTACCCAAGGTTTGCTTGTTGGGTACAATTTCCGATACCTCAACGGTCTTGGGAGCTGGCAAACGTTTTTCCGCCACCAAACGTACACCAGTGGCAGCCATGTGCTGACTCAAATCATAGGCCGAACGATCGGCACAGCCAACACACTCAACCCAACCATAACTGGTCAAACACTCAGCATCCCAACAATCGCAGGCATAATGGGCCATTTCATTGCTCATGTGTTGACGGAAACGCAAACATTCGGGTTTGATGCCAATTGTTAGCAGGAATTGATGGATACGCGCCATGTAGTAACCCAAAGTTTCATTGGCCACCAAACCGCTCTTAACAGCATCTCCAATACGAATCTTTTGTGCCGATTTGCCATCCATTTGGTTGCAGGCCGAATAGAGTGTCATTTCTGTTTCAGCTATCAACTCAAATTTGGAATGATCCTTTTGCGTGGGATCACAGAAATGTTCAATTTCAGCCATTGTGAACTCACGCACACGTATCAAACCAGAACGTGGTGAAATTTCATTACGGAAAGAGTTGCCAATTTGGGCCACAGCAAAGGGTAACTTGCCTTGATTGAATTCCAGCAGACGTTTGAAGTTCACAAAAATACCCTGAGCCGTTTCGGGACGTAGAAAACCTTTCACCAAACCAGTGGGACCGATTTGGGTGGCAAACATAAGATTGAATTCAATGGGTTCCGTTAAATCATTGCCGGTCAATGGAGATTTGATTTGGTACTTGGTCAAAACATCAGCCATTTCTTGTTTATTCATGCCATCCAGTTTAATGCAAATATCTTCGCACTCAGCTTTAAGCTCGGCGGTGGCATTTTTCTCACGTGACAACTTTTCCAAGGCATTTTTGATTAAATGATCCAAACGGAAACATTCGCCAGTCTTGACATCCTTTACCATCAAATCGGCAAAACGATCTACATGTCCCGAAGCTTTGAGAACAGGTTCAGGTGTCAAAATCGAACAATCCACCTCCAACATTTGCTCCTCCAAACTGAAGAATTGGCGCCACAAACTCAGAATATTTGATTTCAAAGCACAACCCATGGGACCAAAATCATATTGGCCGGTAATACCACCATAAATGGCAAAACTTTGATCATAGAAGAAACGACGTTTGAGCAAATCTTCCATCTTAGATCTATCGAATGTCACCACAGTGGGGGTCAATTCCAATTCTTTGTCTTCCAAGACCTTTTTTCGCAATTTCAATTCGGCCACAGCTTTTTTCACATCAATCTCCGCCGCACCATTGGCCTTTAGTTCTCTAACCAAATTTCCCTGCTCCTGGACGGCAGCCCGTAGAGGAGCCAATTGTTCTTCAATTTCAGGATTACTCATGATGTCCTTTAGATTCAGGCGAACGTTGCGCTTAGTTTTCTTTGAACCCCAAACTGGTGGTTTATTGGCGGCTGCTGCTGCTGGTTGGGTACTTTTAAAACGTCTACTCGCTGATGACAAATCAAAGCTGTAGTAGGTTGCAACTGCTGCTGCCGAAGAAGATGTAGAGGGTGATGTAGAAGAAAACAGTGATGTGCTGGCAAATTCTCTTCGTTGCTTTGCAAAACCACCGGCAATTCTACAGATATTCGTCGCCAAGTGAATACGTGTTTTCAGAAACGTATTCAAAATCTGTAAAGACATTGAGATTTAATTATTTTTCACAATTTTCACTGGGTTTACATCACAAAATTCCACAAAAATCTTGGACTGAAACACGAACCTTCAATGATGCATGTGCTGCGGCAAGAGATGACAAATCCTCGATGGTTCTTTCGATAGCTCTTTTCGGCTATATTATCGATTAAGTGGGTAATATCGATAACTTTCGTCATTTGTGTCTCAGAGGCACATACGAAAGAATTTGCTAATTTTAACTTAACTTGTCAATATAAACTGAAACTATTGCTAAAACATCTAAAGAGAGGCAATAATTAATCATATTTTTTATTCTTAATTTAAATCAATTGTTATTACTCTTTTTAGAGCAATGTCGTCTGACGCCACACGCTTTACGCCTTCGCTTTAATGATTTCGATAAACCAGCTGTTTACAATTGTCATTTCATTGTTGTGAAAATGTAAACAATAAACACGTGCATAGAGAGAACAGCAGAAATTTGTTGAATTGTTTCGCAATTGAGAAAAACTCTATATATTTAACAGTTTAAGTATTTTTTTATCAAATATTCCTTGCCAATTTGGTAATTTATGTGAGAGTAGTGGAGTTTTGACACAAAATGACCGATTTACATCAATTTAGTGATGCCGAAGAAGATGAAGAGATACCATATAAGGTAAGACGTCAATACATTGTTTCCAAGGAAAAATCATTTAATAAATTATGTTTTGTTTAGGAAAACCTAGTTACCGGTTTCAAGAAGCTAACGGTTAAGGATGAAATCTTTAAAGATTTAAAAGATGTAGTGGACAAGACAACGGACGACTTAAAGGAGATAATTTTAGCCCAAGAAGAGGAGGCTGACGATGATGCTGAGGAGGATGAGAATGACGACCCCAACAATGCCTATGACTATTATGACGACGAGGATGATGATATAGATTATCAGGATAACTATGATTATGAGGAAAATTATGCCGGCTTTCAAAAACACAATACACACAATCACCTCTCTGCCTCGTCAGGAACGGGTGGAGGAGGTGGTGGTGGCGGCGGTGCCTCACAACGTGTTAGCAGTTATCAACCCAACGAAAAGTTATTCACACGGTATTCAGCCCGTATAAATGTGGAAAAATATGATCCCACAACAAATATGTCTGCCCAGGCGGCAAATCGTTTGGTATCCTTCGATTCCAAACAGGACAATAAGATTAAAATACGTGATAAACATGATCGGGCGACGGCAGAGCAAGTCATGGATCCCCGAACACGTATGATCTTGTTTAAACTCTTAAATCGTGGCCTGATTCAAGAAATCAATGGCTGTATTTCCACGGGCAAGGAGGCCAATGTCTATCATGCAGTTTCAAGGGATACCGATGATGAGTTTGCCATTAAAATCTATAAAACATCCATCTTGGTATTCAAAGATCGCGATAAGTATGTGAGTGGCGAGTTTCGTTTTCGCCACGGCTATTGTCGCCACAATCCCAGAAAAATGGTACGCACCTGGGCCGAAAAGGAAATGAGAAATTATTTGAGAATGTTCAATGCTGGGGTGCCCGTACCGGAACCAATACTTCTGAGGTCTCATGTTTTGGTCATGCGCTTTTGTGGTAAAAATGGCTGGCCCTCGCCCAAATTAAAAGATGTTGAACTGACCACATCAAAGGCCCGCGAACTGTATCGCGACTGTGTGGTTCTGATGTGGAAAATTTATAACAAATGTCGTCTGGTCCATGCCGATCTTTCGGAATTTAACATTCTCGTTCAAGATGGCCAGTTGATTATAATTGATGTCTCACAGTCCGTGGAGCACGATCATCCGCATGCCTTTGATTTCTTGCGTAAGGATTGTACAAATGTATCGGAATTTTTCCGTAAAAAAGCTGTGGCCACCATGACCGTCAAAGAGTTGTTTGATTTTATTACCGATCAAACAATTACCGAGGAAAATATGGAAACTTGCTTGGAAAAGATATCGGAAAAAATCAAAGATCGTGATTTTGAGGCAATCACAGCCCAGGAAAAAATCGATGAGGCTGTGTGGCAACAAACCTTTATACCCAAGCGTCTGGATGAGGTACGTTATTTTGAGCGTGATGTAGACAAGGTGAAAAAGGGAGAGAAGCAAAATTTGATTTATGGCAAAATTACGGGCCTCAATGAAAAGCTGGAGGTACAAAAGAAGCCGGCAATTTTGTCGGAAAAGGAGCGAGAAGAGAATGAGAAAAATTCGAATAAAACAAAGGCAGATGGTGAAAATGATGAGGAAGAGGAGGACGAGGAGGGTGATGAGGATGGCGAAGAAGGTGATTCCAGTGATGATGAAGATCAAACGAAATTCAAAAATTCCGCCAGACCCCGTGATGAGTCGCCGGAAAGTAAAAAGGCCCGCAAAAAGGCTGTTAAAGAGGCCCAGGCCGAGAAACGCAAAGTGAAAGTTAAAAAACATGTCAAGAAACGTAAAGAGAAAATGGCCAGTGCCAAGAAGTAAGAGTTGTAATAGTTTTTTCTTTTAAACTAATTTTGTAATATATTTAGAGGAAAATAAATATAGTTTTTTTTAACCACTTGCATGTAAGAAAATCCGTTTCGAAATGTAAATAATTTGTAAATGGAAATAAATTTTACTAAACTACACTGGATAGAAAGAGCGGAAGTATTCTTAAAAATAGGACTTCTAGAATCTCGTAGTTAAAATTTTCCTGATTTACAGTGGTTCTACAGGTCACAATTTAAAACCAATCGGACAGGGAAGAAGTCGAGCATTTTGTATGGCACGACGGAGTGGGTAAATAAGGGTAACATCTGGGCACGACTCTATGACATTATTTCAAAAACGAAATTTTCCAAAATGGATTTCGACATGAGGGGCTTCCAACATATTGTAGGGTATCACATGGTCGGCCCCGCACGACTATAGCTTTTGCTTTCTTATTTCTTTTGCATTTTATTATTATTAAAAAAACAATATGGAATTATGTTCACCACTTCACATAAAATATAACTTCATTTAACATTCTTTGGATGAATGAAATATTCAATATTTTTTTTTTAAAAAAGAGAGCTATACAAATCTATTTTAAGCATATGTTATTTTCTCACTGGAGTATATGCTATATAAAATATATATATAAAAAAATGTTCACTTAATGATTATCACAGTTAAAATTACCCGCCCATACACCCATATTTAAGCATACGATATTTACAGGAAAAAACTCTCATGTCTTACAACGTCTCCACAAAGATATAAACAATGATACTCTAAAGGCAATAAACAATACAAATAAGTACAAAATTTGATGGAGAACACTGACATTATCCAGATTTAAAAACTTCAACAACACCCGTGGATTACTAAAGTGACAATAGATTTCACCGCAATCTAAAATGTCACGACCATAACCGAATATGGTTATGACCAGGGCCACAACACCGTCACGCATAAAACTGATTTTCATGAACCAATCCATGGCTGGCGAAATTTGTCCGGCAAAATCGAAGCCATATATTGCCAAGCCCATAAAGGCAGCAATGCTCATGGGACCGAAAACGGAACCGTTCTGGAAATAGAAATGAAAAAATAAATTTCACCCAAAAAGATTGATGATTTTTTACATACCGTTATACTTAGGGCCGCTCCAATTGTCAGACCCAATCCCTCGGCCACCAGTGACACCATAATCCCAACTCCCACAAATATTGCAAAACGCCACCATTGACATGGAAACCCTGTCATCCAATAGCTTAGTGTAAGAAATATTACATTGTAGAATACCTGCAGCGGCATACGACTCATACACAGGGCCATGAAATATGTTGAGAGGGAGTACCAGTGATTGAAAGTTTGTTTCTTGACGATTTTCACCTCCAAAGGATCTGCAAAAAAAAAAAGATTTTTGTAAATACTTTTTATGGACATTTCAAAATGTTAGCTATCGAATTTTGAAGACTTTTACAAGTTTTTTAGATATTTTAAAGAATATTTCGAGGGAGACTTTTGCTAAGAATCCTAGATTTTTAGGAAGTTTTTAGACAGACTCCTAGTGTTTTTTTAATAAATCTTCTATGAAAACTTTTGGATTTTTAAGTAGAATTGTCGGATGGCTTCTAGAAAGTCATGTGTGTAGACAGGCTCTAGAATTTTAACCCACATTAAAGACGGATTTCTATGAATATATTAGGGCACCCCAATTTAGTCTTAAAATATTTAGAAAGGCTCCAGAATTCTAAAGCCGTTTAAAAGAAGTCTTCACAAAAAAGGCTCTTCCGGCAATTTTCAAAAAAAAAATTTTCAAAAATGACGAATGTAGCTGTTATATTAGGGTCTATACGACGACGTGGACCTGCATAGGCAACTTTTGTCATAAGCCATTACAATATTCAAATGCGAAATAAAATCCGTGAATTATGTCGCTAAAATCATCAAAATACCTAAGATCGGCAGATACCTTTATATGGGGGCGATACGAAGACGTGAACCTCCACATACAATTTTCTGTCCAAGGCTGTAGTATCCATTACGAACTTCAAATACCAAATTTCAAAGAACTCCGATGAATAATGTCGCTTAAATCACCAAAATACCGAAAATAGGGAGGTACAGTTATATGGGGGCTATACGAAGACGTGGACCTGCATAAACAATTTTCTGTCGTAGGATGTAGTATCCATTACGAACTTCAAATACCAAATTTGAAACAATTCCGGTGAATAATGTCGCTTAAATCACCAAAAATATCGAAAATAAGGAGGTATCGTTATATGAAGACGTGGCTATATGAAGACGTGGACCTGAACAGACAACTTTCTGTCATAGGCTGTAGTATCCATTATGAACTTCAAATACCAAATTTGAAACAATTCCGGTGAATAATGTCGCTAAAATCATCAAAATGCCAAATATCGGCAGGTACCACTATCTGGGGGCTATACGAAGACGTGGACCTGCACAGGCAATTTTCTGTCCAAGGCTGTAGTATTCATTACGAACTTCAAATACCAAATTTGAAAGATTTCCGATGAATAATGTCGCTAAAATCATCAAAATACCGAATATCGGGCGGTTCCGGGCTATGCGAAGGCGTGGACCTGCGCAGACAATTTTCTAACATAGGCTGTAGTATCCATTACGAACTTCAAATACCAAATTTGAAACGATTCCGGTGAATAATGTCGCTTAAATCACCAAAAATATCGAAAATAAGGAGGTATCGTTATATGAAGACGTGGCTATATGAAGACGTGGACCTGAACAGCCAACTTTCTGTCATAGGCTGTAGTATCCATTACGAACTTCAAATACCAAATTTGAAACAATTCCAGCGAATAATGTCGCTTAAATCACCAAAATACCGAAAATAGGGAGGTTACAGTATATGGGGTATATACGAAGACGTGGACCTGCACAGACAATTTTCTGTCTTAGGCTGTAGCATCCATTTCGAACTTCAAATACCAAATTTGAAACCATTCCGGTGAATGGTGTCGCTAAAATCATCAAAATACCGAATATCGGGAGGTACCGTTATATAAGGGCTATACCAAAACGTGGACCTACATGTCCCATTTTGAATACCAGAAGTCCTGCAAACATAATAAACATTTGAGTAAAATTTTAACAACCTACTTCATTTCGTTCGGAAGCTAGAGTGATTTCCACAGACGGACGGGCATCGCTAAATCGACATAGAATTTAATGCTGATCAAGAATATATAACTTCGTGGAGTCTAAAATGAATATTTCGAGGTGTTACAAACGGAAATGACAAACTTTATTTACCCTCCATGCTATGGTGGAGGGTATACAAATATTTTTAGACAGGCACTGGATTTTTGAGAACATTCTTTGACGAACTCCTAAAAAATTGCGACGCTCATGGTCTTTTAAGAATATTATTTGGAATACATCTTATTCTCGAATACTTACAGCTAATAACCGGTATAATTGTCTGAGTATAGGTTATCATAACAATCACACTGATGCAATATTTCAGATGGGAGAAAAATTCCGAACCTTCATTGCCACGCTTGAAATACAGGACACCTATTGGAATCAAATTAAAACAATTAAATTAAAAATATAACTTCCTGCAATTTTCAAAAAAAAAATCCTCCATACTCACCAAACAACAATCCCACCATGACATGGTGAAAGATTTGTATAAAAATTGGTATACGGGCTCGCAAAATCCTCAAAAACAAAATATGCAAAAGCACTGAGAATTGTTGAAAACTTGATATGTGATCCACTTCACGATCCGTAGTAGACAATTGTCGGAGTAGAGTTTTAGCTTGACTCAGCAATACTACTTTACCACCATCCAGTAGTGGATTGCTACCGTTACTCTTGGCGTTTGTTGTGAAGATTGAAGATAACGATTTCGTTGGTGGAGATTCGGGAAAGAGAGAAAATAAAGCCTGACGAAACGGCATAAAACTGTGACTATCACAATTGCCATTTTTCATGGCAAACGATGAGTATTCTTGATCACACTGGGCCGTGTAACGCAGCTTGCCATTGTCCACAAGGGCGCTAAGGGTCGATACCACTTGAGGGTCCTCAAAATCACACAACTCAATGACTGGAAAAGAGTACGGATATTAATTATTTTGATAATATTTTGAGAGATAAGAGAAAACCTACTATAATCCGGTGGACTATAATGTTTGGGACACTTCTTGTCGGCATGACTGAGATAGGAAACCAAGGCCCTCGGTGAACCTTGATAAACACATTTGCCCTTGGCCAAAACATAAACATTATCGAAATAATTGAAAATGGTGGCCGAGGGTTGGTGTATTGTACAAACCACGGTATGGCCCCGTTGGGCTAGAGATCTTAGCAAACGTATACACTGAGCCGCAGTTACTTCATCCAAACCACTTGTTGGTTCGTCGAGAAAAAATATTTTCGGATTTGCCACCAATTCCAGGGCCACCGATAAACGTTTCCTCTCACCACCACTTAAATCATTGGCATTCACATTACGGCGATGATTCAAATTTAAACTATCCAATATTTCCGCTATCAATTCCGTTTTGTTCTGTTGATGGCTACGCTTTAATTTGAGATCACAGGCAAGATTCATTAACTCCTCGACAGAGAGTAAAGTTTGATGATGATCCTCTTGGGTAATGTAACAGGAATGTTTACGATCAATACTTATTAGGCCGTCCACACCAGAAGTTCTAGGGAAAAGAATAGACTTGGTAATAATCGGGTCTGTAACATTCAAAAAAAAATACTTACACATATCCCGAAATGGCATTGAGTAAACTACTCTTGCCGGCACCCGACGGACCCATAATGGCCGATAGCTGGCCATTGCGAAAGCTTCCGCTAACACCTTTTAAGATTTGGCGCTTTCCAATAACTTTAACTGCAAAAAAGTTGGAAATAAAGAATTTGAATTAGTTTTTGATAAATATTTCGAAAAATAATTAAAAATTAAAAGACATAAAAAGTAAACATAAAATGAAAAATATTGAATTTTTTTAAATCAAACTTTTCAAGAAATATATTTAAAAAAAAAACCTAATTTCTTTGAAAAAAATTTAAAAAATTAAAATATATTTCAAATATTTTGAAATAAAATTTTAACATATTTTGTTATATTTATAAAAATTCAGAATTCAAAAAAAAAAATGTGGAAAAAAACGATATCGGTAAGAACTAATACAAAGCCTATAAGTTCAGCCAAGAAGGCTGCTCTTGACAAAAATTTGTAGTTTTGTACTATTGTGATTGATTCTCTATAAATATTCAATCACAATTATTGTCTTTGGCAATATAAAACTAAAAACACCGCAATTTAAAGAAAATACCTAAAATCCATTGAACATTTTTAAAAACCCGACAGCTGACGGAAATTTCACAATTTTTATATTCCAAAAAACATATTTTTTAATTTTTAAAAAGCCCTTTTAAATTATCAAAAATATTTTTTCATAGTTCTCCTATTTCCAAATGCCCCAATAATGTCCTGGCATTTATTGAACAAATATTCTTAAAAAAAATCATATTTTCTTACCATTTGTCTGAAAATGTTCACCCAGTTTTTTATAACCTTCAATAAAGGTTAGTTCATCGATAATTATAATTTGCATTCTACTTCATATTATGGACACTTATAAAAATAAACATTAATCACTCTTTTAAACCCATACATTGTTCTTGTTGTTAACCACTTCAAATTTAATTGTACTTTAAAATAATCTCCAAGGTCAGTGCCATTGATAATGACCGATATTATTCTTCGACAGCATAAACCAATCAAGAAATTACAAATAAAATGCACCGGAAAGATAATTGTCGGGCATTTGCAACGTTGTTTTGGCGGGAAACTATAAGTTTGACTCTGTCTCCATCTCTCACTGTTCAAAAAACAAAGCTTAAAGATTCTCTTTCTCATATGGCCGGTGAGACGCGTACTCTCATTTACTCTTGACAAAGAAACGGCATATTGAATGTAAACAAACGAAGATTTGCATTATCAGCAGCAACAACAACAATGATGTGTGAAAAAGCACCGCACAATCACCTCTATATTATTTTGTAATACAAATTTACTAAAGAGCAACAACAAAAGCATAACCGCCAATAATTGCATCGATTATGAATCCGTGCGGGCAGCCAGATGTGCATGTGCCGTGTTGTTTAAAGGCTCAAATACAAGATCATTTACATACATTGCGTGCAAATGTATTGTATGTATGTAAATTATAAACACACTTGCATGCATACAGAAATAAAAACGTGCAGAAATAGAATATTTCTTTCACCATGACACAGAGATATAGTAAACAAAAGAATATTCTTTGTGTGGCAGATGAAGGGGAGAGTGAGAGTGAAAATAATGACCGGTTGTTTTACCACAGTTTACAGGTTATTAATAATTTTCTTGCAAATATAAAGATATCTAAAGAAAAGTATTGAACGCTGTTGGCAATAATGTTTAAATCGTCATTAATTTAATAAGTTTTTAGTACCTATTTATTAGAAAGCATTTGTGTGAGACAGAGAGAGAGAGTGAGAATCCTTGACATATTTCAAACAGTTGTTAACTGACTGTTATACACGTTTTACACAACACAAAAAATTGGGTCTTTTCACGAATTGTTAGAAAATATGCCATATTATTAAAATAAATAATTTAAAAATAAAAATTACATAAAAGATATCACAACATAATGTCCATAATTCTTTCAAGTACACTTTTTACATGAATTTTTGAAGTATTCGTGTAAAGGAGACAAAAATTTTTAGATTATTATTGTCACAATTATTTTATGCAGGGTTCATACGGTGGAAAAAACGATCCATCTTTTATCGAATTGTTAGGGAAAAGTTATAAATATTAAAAAAAAAAAATATTTTTGGGACAATGAACTGTCAGCTGCTGGGACAATGATACAATATTTATATGGGCTTTTTAGTATGAAATGGTAAATATTTATGTGAAATTGAAAAGAGAATGGTATACATCTTCAATGTCTAATATTTATAAATTGTTATTTTTTTAAATGTTTTTTTTTTTTTTTTGTAAACAAGTGTAGCTTTTTATTACTACAGACAGAAAAACCAACGGCATGTTAATTTCATAATGACAAGCCCACCCAGCCCCAAGAATGATTGTTGTATCACTCTTGTTTGGCAAAAACAAAACAGTCAATAAAAGTTGTACCTGTACATTTTATGGTACGTTTTCGGCTGCAGAAGTCATTGAACTTGCGGATGGCGCTCATTCATCATCATCGCCTATGCAATGCAGACATTGTTGAGTAAAAATTTATTAACCAGAAAAAATGCAATGTTTATTTACGGAAATTCATAACTAAATAAATGAAATTGTGAATATATTCAACACAGATTGTCAGGTTAAAATGAATATGACGTAATTTAAATAAGTAAAAAAATGTAAATACCAAATTTGAAACAATTTCGGTGAATAATGACGCTCAAATATCGGTAGGTACCATTATATGGGGGCTATACCAAAACGTGGACCTGCACATATAATTTTCTGTTCAAGGCTGTAGTATCCGTTACGAACTTCAAACTCTAAATTTAAAAGAATTCCGGTGAATAATGTCGCTAAAATAATCAAAATAAAGAATATCGGGAGGTGCCGTTATATGGGGGCTATACGAAGGCATGGACCTGCACAGAAAATTTTCTGTCATAGGCTGTAGTATTCATTACGAACTTCAAATGCCAAATTTGAAGCATTTCGGGTGAATAATGTCGCTTAAATCACCTAAATACTGAAAATATGGAGGTGCTATTATATAGGGGTATGCCAAAACGTGGACCTACATGACCCATTTTCAATATCAAAAGTTCTTCAGACATAATATATATTTGAGTAAAATTTTATCTATCTACTTCATTTCGTTGGGAAGCTATTGTGATTTCCACAGATGAACAGACTCACGGACATCTCTAAATCGACATAGAATTTAATGCTGATCCATAATATATATACTTTATGGGATCTAAAATGTACATTTTGAGGTGTTACAAACGAAATGACAAACTTTACCATTTTAGGTCTTTGAAGAAAGTAGTTTTAGGTTGACTTAGATCGAATTTGGCCCTACACTCCTTTGTTCTTTTCCGAAGAACTCAGCCGTTGTCTAAGCCAGCCAAAAAAGCGTTTTACGTAATCTCACCTTCACTTTGTTTTGTTATTGCATGTTTATTTCTTCCTGACGACAATATACAATATTTCTGATACAATCACATCTTTTCAGGAAATGCTTTTATTTCACGCAAAAACAAAAATATTATTTTTTTTATTTTGAAAAAATATAATTTTTTATTTCAAAGTTCACATTTGACACTTTGGACCAACAATGCATTGTCATCATGAAACACGGGAAGAACTATATAATCAACTATTCATCGTTGCGATGAACATAATTTTTTTTTTTTTTTAATTTCTGTTAAAAGGAAAAAGCTATTAAAACTTTTCCCCGACTTATCAACGTTAATAAGGCAAATAATTTACTTTTTCCTCAATCATATTAATTTCATGAGTCCATTGTTTTATTTCATCAAGATGCGGTAATTAATTATTGCAAACAAAATGTTAAAACAAACACATGTGTTAAAATCAGCAGGCCAGCAAGCAAGCAAACACCATACAAAGAAAAAACCTGACCCTGCCTTAATGAAATATTATTCATCGGCATTCGTTTGATTTATATATCTTTCTATATGAATGCATTTCAACTAGAAATATTATATGAATATGTTAATTTCAAATGCAAATGAAATATACATTATGAAATGCGAAATTAAGGAAGACAATTATTTAGAAAAAAAAAAAACAAAAAAGACTATAAAATATGCAGACATTATAATTGCCATACTTGATTGATTGGCAACCCTACGAAAATTATTATTGAGAGATAATTAGAATGACATTTCCAATCTCCACCCAAAAAAATAATTAACGGTATATTTTGCTAAATTGCCATATACCAAGCATGTTATCGATGAAAGTAACCGACGGTTTACACAAGACCAATTCTATGAAAATGAAAACAGTTTAACTCATGGCAAAATTAAGGAAGTAATCTCCGTTGCCAAGTCGCCTTTTGCCTTTTTATACCCTCCACCATAGTATGGAGCATGGTAGAAGAATATAGGTAGACGCATCGACACAGCTGCTAGAACAATGAACTGTCAACGAATTTTGGAATTGAAAATGTTGAATGAAAAATTATTTAAATTTGTAAAAACTGTTGAAAAACGCGTATTATAGTAACCTCCGAGTAGCGTCGTATAAGAAAACATATAAAAATCTACTTATATTTGAAAAGACATTTAAAATTTTTTGACATATTAATGTTCCCAAGCGTTGGTTTATCGACCTGTATTCTTCTACCATGGTATGGAGGGTATATTAAGTTTGTCATCGCGTTTGTAACACCTCGAAATATGCATTTTAAACCCCACAAGGTATATATTTTCTTGATCAGAATAAAATTCTATGTCGATTTAGCGATGTTCGTCCGTCTGAGGAATTCACTCTAGCTTCAGAACGAAATGAATTATGTCTTCAGGACTTTTGGTATTGAAAATGAGTCATATAGGTCCACGTCTTCGTTTCACCTCCATATAATGGAATCTGCCTATTTTCAGTATTTTGGTGATTTAAGCGACATTTTTCACCGGATTTTTTTTTAATTTGGTATTTGAAGTTCGTAATGGATAGTACAGCCTATGACATAAAGTTATCCGTGCAGGTCCATGCCTTCCTATAACCCCCATATACCTTCCTATTTTCGGTATTTTCGTGATTTAAGCGACATTATTCACCGGAATTGTTTCAACTTTGGTATTTGAAGTTAGTAATAGATGCCACAGCCTATG